CTCTGGACACACAGAAACGAGAAAAGTGCAGTGGACAGATGCATGTGGGAAAGAGCTTGCAGAGATCAGGGAATTTGAGCTCAGGTATATAACTGTAAAGGCTATTAAATTTGATGTCTCTTACTAATTTTGTGTTGTGTAGAAATGCTGGATATAGAATGTTACTTTCTTGCTATCACTGTCTTCTATGTACTTACAATATTTAAGAGTATCCTGCAACAAGAAATTTTTGGTTTGGTATTTGTCCTGGTCTACATTTGTTGGTGCCTTAAGTGATTATAATATGATGTAATTTTATAAGGACCACATGTCATAAGTTTTGTTTTTAATCACTCTTATCACACTTCGGTATTATACTGACTTCACGCAGAGACAATGCTAGGCACTGTTACTTGTGTCTATGTGGTGATTTTTGCTGCACGTACTGAAAGATAGTACTATATTACCTACTAGTCCTACTTCATCAAAGATTTGGAAATTATGAAACTGGATTTGATATTAACTTAAGCTAACATACTTCTTTGACCAAGTTGGAAATTGTACTCAAGTTAAACTTGAACAGAGTCCTTATGATCCTCTGGCAATGCAGCATAAGGACTTTAGTTTATAGTTTTATTAACAAAAGACATTCTTTTTGTATTTTAGAATGAGCTTCAACTATTTTATTCCTTCAAATCCTGATCCAGATAGGTTTTTTCAACTTAATGAGTTATCATTGTATCATAGTCAAAATGGAGTAATTTTAGCTTAGTTTGATTGGAGGGAATCAGGTTCATGGACTCTGTCTCATCTCCAAAATATTTTAGAGCTGAATGTATGTTTGATAGTTCTTAGCTTTACATTGGTTGTTACCTAGCTAATACCACCCCCCCTTAAATGTTCCCGCTAAAATCATAAATGTTCACAATAACTGATGTTTTGTGTCCTGCAATGTGTTTGATAGAATTTCTTAGGATGGTATTGGTTGATTGATGAAACTTCTGGTGACATGTACGGACCAACATTTGGCATTGAACATATTTAATCCTATGCTTGGTTCTCTCTCTGCATGAAGTCAACAGAAGTGCTATTAAGCTCAATGTGTGCTCCCTCTATCCCATCCAGTTAGTGAAATTATATATCATATACTGTCTCAGTATCTGGTAAAAGTTGCATTGGCATTAATCCTATAGCAAGTAATGTATATATGAGCTGTAAATGTGGTAGCCAAAGTTATATCTGCATTTACTTGCTGCCAACCTTCGTAGGACGTAGTAGTATTCATTATTAAACAATTCTTATTGTATTTGTGTTTATTGATTTATTGTAAGGGAGGGTTGGTGTTTGGATGCTGGGAGTCTAACCTGTATGAGTTTGAGGCTCTTTTAGCCTAGTACTATAGCAAAAGAGTTGTTCCTCTTGATCACAAAGACCAACTGGCTTACAGTCTTGTAGGAAGATAAGCATTGTTAAGTAACACATTTATGTAAATTTAAGCAGAGCTTAGAAAATTTATGCTTAATTGATATAGTAAAACCTATTATTACATTGAATGTTTTCTGTTTAACATCTGATATTTCAGACAGGATATAAACTTGTCATCTGTGATGCTTAGGAAACTCTTTGTCTTGATTCAGGGATGCCTTATAAGTGCATGTGAACAAGTTTGATTATCCGTGGAAAATAATTTTTAACATAATACTGCAAAAGTGCAAATGCTATTTTAGCATTAGTAATTTGACAAAATTGTAATAAGTTGCTAGTGTTCATACTGGCTATGGACTTGGGAGGATTGTGGGCAAAACAGTGATGACTAGTGTCTGATTTCTCTGTAGATATCCTTTGTAATGTTTAAGGAATAAGTTGGCATGGTATTGATTATGCACTACGTTTGATTACTTTCTGATAAGGAGAATCTATGATTTCATTCTGGGAATTTGCATGGCCCAATTTGATTCTAAATATGATTTATGATATAAAAATGGGTTCTACCACTTTATAAAGACAAGCATGGGTGGATAAAAATGTCACACACATCCTTGCAAAGTTTTAGATTTGTAAAGCTGGTCAGAATTCGCAGCCATCATCAATAAGAATGTCTCTTTCCAGCTAATCTCAAAGACCTCCTCAATACTTGCTTTGGTTTTCATGCTAATGCAGCTGATTTGAAATATGCTTTAAGTATAGATTGTATCTTCCTTACTTTACCTTTCTGGCAATACCCTATACAAAGTGGTCATATAGATTGTATCATCAGTGTGCCTGTTCTGTGCCATATTCTTCATGGAGATTTTTTATTAGGAAACAGGTGAAACCTATCTTTGAAGTATTTCATCTCACGACTCTACTTAATAAGACAGCCTTTCTTATTTAGATAAAAGACCATAAGGCATGGGAGTATGGGATCACTTAGACAGTCAGCTTTTACATTTATGCACCGTGTAAGATATCTCAACTGTCACTGGAAACTGTCTCTGGAAGAACAGTGATATTCTGATAGGGGAACCATAGATATCCCAATCTACAAAGAAACTGAGAATTTATCAAAAGGAAACCACAACACTGGCACCAAACCATGAGGTTGGGAGACGATAATCAAACCCACAACCCCTTGGTTTGGATCCCAATTGACTCTTTGAAGTAGTTGAACAGTATTTTTCCCACCTTGAAAATCTCACAGATTGTTCATGTGTGTTCAAAAGTGGCCATCTATATTTCTAAAACTGAAATTACTGTGCTTGTGGTATCTCTGTTACAGAACAGTTGTAAAGAATTCGATAACCATTAGCTTATCACATTCACCTGTACAAGCCTACTAATTGAAAAGGAGAAAAGAATAACTAACATTTATTGGATAGAGATTCATGCAAGAATCGCTTACTTGTAGTTTGTGTGAAGTACTTACAATTTTTGTCGAGGCAGAGTTTAGTGAAATATATGAGCTGATTCCCTTTGACTCTTTTAATTAATCTATCTTTTTTAGTTCTTTTCCTTCTTCTTCTTCTTCCATTTTTTTTTTCTCCCTGTGCATTCTCTCTCTTTCTCTCTTTGGGGCCATGGGGTTAGGGTTGTTGCGTTTGTCTAAGCATTTTGTGCAAAAAAGAATCAAGCCCAAACAATGCACACCATTTCTAGATTTAATTCAGAAGTCTCAAATTAATATGATTTGTCCACTTCTTTCATTGATATTATTACCTAATTCACTTTATAAAAAGAGACTCATGAAGCTGTTGATGCAGAGCTTCCCTGAGAGCTTTGAATATAAGGGTTACACAATCTGCTGATGGTCATTTCTTTCAATTATAACTGCTACATGCTTGCTGTGCTGGAGCTTGAGCACTTCTATGCCCCATTAACTTGCATAACCATTGTCTAAGCCCTTTAAGGCTATCACTTGCCATACTAGTATATGGTACTCACCAAGAATTGCATCTGCCTTTCCTAGAAGTATTAGTTTCGGCAGTCTAGATGGCTTTCATTGTAACATTTAGCACCAGTGGTAGTGCCTTATGAAGGTGATGTGTGGATACTGGATAGATTTGATTGGCTTGATTTTGCTTTTGATCATGTATGTCTTACTGACAGCAGCAATATATTTGTCTCTCTTGTTCAAACTTTTATCTTTTCTTGCACCCTGTTGATATTACATTTTTTTTTATTCCAATTAAAGTTATTTATTTTATAATGAGTATACTTTTGTGGAGTTTCCATTTATCTTGTAATGCATCTGTTTTATAGACCGACAATGGAAACATATCTTCATCGATGTTACTAACTTCTGTTGTGTGCACAATAATGTCCTATCCCATTACTTTCTACTTACATCTACCAAATTAAATTGCAGTGAACATGGCGAATCAGATGACGAGTTTGTCAATGGAAATGGGAAGACTTGTTCTTGCAGGATAATGTAATTTGGGCTTGTAAAAGCCACACTTGATTGAATCAAAATCAAGCATTGTGGAAGGGCATTAGATTGGGCTATTTTTGTGTGCTTAGCTGCTGTGAATCAAGCATATTTGGATTTACTGAGTGCTGTTGCCCATTTTTCGCCAGCTGAGTGAGTGGAAAACTAGAGCGAGGTGCTTGAGGTTTCGAGTGTGTTTTGATAGGAGTACAGCCATCTGCTAAGATCCGGCATTCGGATGCCTCTACTGGCTGATTCACTTTGTTAATATCTTGTCAATTTTGTTTCATTGAGTGGACCGTCAGATTGAATTTTTAGTCATCTCTTTCAATCATTTTTTCTTCCCTCTTCACCTCTACTGCTTCTCCCCCCATTACCCATTCTTTTTTTGTTTGGGTTACTAGATCATGTCCTTTTTCTTTTTCATAACTGAGTGTGTATTTGTTGCCGTAATTAAAGTGTTCTTGCATTCAATCATATTTATGCTGCTTACAAGCCTTTGTATTTAGCAATCAAGTCACCCTGGCCCCTAGTTATATTCAGTCACAATTCATATGCAGATCCGAGCAGATGAGTCGTTTGATTTAGTTCCGGTTTGATTGATGTATTCAATCTGATATCTGTAGCAATGGAAGAGGTTGTATAGTGAACTTAAAACTAGACAAATCTTTACTAATCATGTTGATTCTGATTGCTTAATTAGGTAGAAAAATAAAAAAATTGAAACCTTTACTGTTCAGTTTTCTTAATTATCTGTGAACAGAGAATGATCACGAACAAGTCTTAATTTCACGCAGTTGGAATCCATTTTACTTCATTTTAAGGAACCATAGATATCTTACTTCCAAATAATCGTTACTTATTAGCGTCTTTGTTAACAGTTAGCCATTTAATTTTACTCTTAATACGTCCCCCTAATGACTCTTATCTATAGTTTCAAATTCCTGTTCTCAGAAAAGTACTTATTATTCTGGGTTCCAAACAGCCAAGTGGAGTAAGACTCAGCCTCAGACTCGAAAGCGGTGCGACTCACACGCGCCTCTCCCTGCAAGTAGGCATTATCCACTTGCACATAAACAATCAAAATCCTCAACACCCAATAAACCATAGCCACATTTCATCTACCCATTAACAAATTTCCTCTGATTCTGATAACACTTCAAATTCCATCCTCTGCCTTCTCCTCTCTTTCTCTCTCCTCCCCAATTCAGACAAAAACACTTGGATTCAGAGAAATATGTCAGTAGCAGCTTCAATCCCAAGTATCAGACTACCAACAACAACATCTTCTTCTTCATCATCATCATGCTCTTCTTCTTCATCAACTACCTTGAGCTTAAGGCTATCACAAACTAAGCCCTGTATGTCATTTACTGTCAGGAGTTCACAGACTGAAGGTCCTATCAGAAGACCTACTGCTCCTTCTCCTGCTCCTCCTCTGCAGCCGCCTTCGCCACCTTCTTCATCTCCTCCTCCATCGCCTCCGAAGCCGGCCTCGGCCTCTAAAGTGGTTGAGGATAAGAGTGCGATCACATTGGAGTTTCAGAGGGCTAAGGCTAAAGAGCTGCAGGATTATTTTAAGCAGAAGAAGCTTGAAGAAGCTGATCAAGGCCCTGCTTTTGGTTTTGTTCCTAAAAATGAGATTGGCAATGGCAGGTATGTTTGGTAACACATTTTTATTGTTAAATTAATTAATTGGAATATGTGTTTTTCTTCGTAAATTTTATTTGCAATTTCTCTGCCATCATGATTCATGAACATTTACATCAATCACATGTAATTTTAGACATTGATGTACTCGCTTTATTTCAATTCACTATTACTTGTCAGTTTTGAATACCAATGTATTGACTAGTACTTTCGTAACACTTACTAGTGCATAGCCTTGAAAAACAGTTAATCAGGAACATAGTAGTTCAATATAGGAGCAAATGAAAATTTTCACATGAAGTTATTGTCAATTATCCAATGGTGACCTTGTACCAAAAAATAAATGTAAGATCTATAAGCTGATGATTATTATTAAATGTGTCGCAATGTGACTATTGTATCGGTGAATTACTTAATGGCTCAAATGTTGATGTTCTAATAGGAAAGTTGCTAATTTGAAAGTGATTTTTGTTAATTTGCTAGGTAGGCTTATTCAATTGAAAGTTAAGATGTGAAAATGTAACATGTTTTTATAATGTGTTTTACTTGGACCTTTAGAATTGTTAAAACTATTCGACTCACACTTAGGTATGAGAGACAATTAGTGCTGTCAAATTTCAAACCGAAACCGTTTAACTGCCCGAAACCGACCGACCCAAATGAGAACCGAACCGATTAAAAACCGATTTTTTTGAAACCGAAAACTGACCCGAACCGTATTTTAGTAAACCCAAAACCGAATCGACCCGAGTAATGGTAAACCGTTTAAGAACCGAACCCGTTAACAAACCAAACCGAATATAAACCGAACTGAAAGAAAACCGAACCGAAAAAGAACCGAACTGTATCTAACCCGAAACCGTTTAAACTGGCAAAAAAACCGCTTACACCGAACCATTAGCAAACTACTACCCGTTTGCACCGAACCATTTAAAAACCGAACTGATTGTAAACCGAACTGGTTATAAACCGAACCATTTATGAACCAAACCGCTTCTAAATCGAATCGTTTACAAACTGTTTTATTTTTTTTATTTTGAATAGTACAAACTTTTTTATATAATTAAATGGATTAAATATTAGAAATCTTAGAATATATTTAGCATATATTCCAAACTTATCAATTTTTCTAAAGAGCCACACACAATATTCCAAACTTATCATTAAACCTGCAGACTACCGGTTTCTCAAGAACAGTCAAAGATGGAAATTTTGGAACTTGGATAGGACAAATTCAAGTGTCTCAAACTGTTAGCATACTTCGTACCAAAATAAGATAGAGTTGGCATAATAAGGCTTTAGCAATTCATGCCTCCACACATCTTATGTTCGTTGACGCTTACTACCACTAGTGTTAGTGACTTGTTGTTGAGAAGAATCTTGATTCTGAACAGTGTCTTGAGAATCTATAGTGTGCTCATCATAATTTCCAAACCCTTGCTCCATTACTAAAAAAATAGAAACAAAACAACAAATTTCATCATAAGTGGATGTAGTTGAGCAAACCATATTTGAAACAAAATCAATACTAGGCCACATATTCAACACTTTCAGGAATCAAGAAATGTAACAAAATCAGAGAAGACAAATTGTCCTTGAAACAGCAAAATAAGACTATATAGTATATACTAGTCCAATTCTGTAATTGGGAGTTAGAATCAAGAAATGTAACAAAATCAGATAGGTAATAATCATCCAAGATTATGCTAGTTTCACATGATCAAGCTCATAAGTTATTGATAGCAAAATTAAAAGCATAATGGTACAGGCATTGCCTCAATCAGATTCAGGAAATCATTCTTTCATGATTTCATTTTCCAAATTCAATTTTCGTTTTATTATTAACATAAAATACATATATATAGAAGCTATCTTTGGCTACCCTCTTATCCATGCAAGGAATACATTTTGCTCTCCAGTAGACAAATCGATATTGCTCGAGCAGTGGAAACAAAGAAGTCAAAATATTAACAAAAAGTTGATGAAAATGGATTTACCCTGAAGCTTCTAATTTTCCTCTAAATATAATATTTCCTTCTTTCATTAGGTATTAAGCTTTAAAAGAGACTAGATAAATTTACAATTACATTACTGCAGAATCAGTAAACAAAACCAATATATCCTTAATTCCTTATAAACAAAACCCCATTCTTCAACACTTTCAGTCAATTCATCCATTCATCCCCAAATTTACATTTTCAATTGCCATGCATTACAAGAAATACATATACAAAATATAAATAATAATAAATAAAAAAAAAAAAAAAACCAATTCATACCATGATACCAACAAAACATATCAATTAAAATCTAGAAAGAGAGAGTGGTTACCTGAATTTGGAGCATTTAGGGCAGCAAACACCAATGACTCAATGAGAGAGAGGCAGAATCAGGACAGCTTCAGAATCAGCAAACACCGTGAATGAATGTATGTGAGAATGAGAGGCGCCGTGAGACGGAGAGGCGCTTAGCCGTGAGAAGGAGAGGCGCCGTGAGAATGAGTGGTAAAGTGAGAGTGAGAGTGAAAGGGTTTCAAAAGGGTGGGAGTGGTTTCATGTAAATCTAACCATTGATTTTTTAATCTATGGTTCAGATTGGTGATCCGTGTGTGTTGTGGGAGAAAGAATCTAACCATTGATTTTTTTAATCTATGGTTGAGAGTGGTGATCCGTGTGTGTTGTGGGAGAAAGAATCTAACCATTGATTTTTTAATCTATGGTTGAGAGTGGTGATCCGTGTGTGTTTGTGTGTTGTACATTCATCTACAAAAATATTATTCCCTCAATTCTTTAGTATTTTTTTGCCCCATTTGATCGGGATCAGTGCCCAAGACACATATTAAAACATCTACTAGTATATCTTTATTTTCATACACGTAAAAATTATAAAAACGTTATATTAATAAAATGTATAAATAGATAAATTTAAAAAGATCACTAATGAGTCTATAACTTTGTACTAATACATACGAATAACGATGATACGAATATTTATCTATGAGATAGTTAGATGCCATGTGTTAATAATATGTACATATGATCGATTGAACTAATCAATATTACCTTGTTAATTAGTCATTAGTGTTTTCTTTCATTATACAAATCAAAGCACTTTGTAATATCTTCATAATTTCATGAAAATATATAATGATAAACGAGTCATAATTATCAGTCTTGTTGACTAATCAAGTATCGAATTACCAAATTGCAAATTTCCATTTCACAAGAAGTCAAGAACTCATCAAATCATGATTATATATGATAGTATGCGTAGTATATAAATGATTAAATAAGAAGCATATAATAACCTAATTGTATAACAATAATACATTAATACACTAACTCTTATAATCTACTTCGTAATAAACTAGTAAAATCAGTATGACTAAACTTGAAACAGAACATAATATGTATTTATAAAATCAATGAGAATTTGTTTATAATATGATGCCTAAATATGAAATGATTCGCGACTTGCCAACTTTATATAAAACTTGTGAACGCAAAAGGTTAGCAAGTACTATCAAATTTCAAACCAAAGCCATTTAACTGCCCGAATCCAAACAACTCGATAAACAATTTATTTTTTGAAACCGAAAACCGACCCGAACCGTAATTTAGTAAACTTGAAATGGAACCGATATGAATAACGTTAAAGTGTTTAAACGATCGAAGAACCGAACCAGTTATAAACTGAACCGAAAAAGAACCGAACCAGTTAAAAACCGAACCGAAAAAGATCCGAACCAGTTATAAACTGAACCAAAAAAGAACTGAACTGTTTCTAACCCGAAACCGTTTCCAACCCGAAACTGTTTGAACCGGGAAAAAAACCGTTTACACCGCACCGTTAACAAACCGCAACCCGCCTGCACCGAACCGTTTACTACCCGGACTGTTTACAACCCGAACCGAATTAAAACCGCTTAAAAATAAACCGAAACCGAATCGAACCGATAACTATTTAAACTGAACCAAAACCGACCCGCGAGACAATTAAACCGATTCCAAACCGACCCGATTAACTACCGAACCGATTTCAAACCGAACCGAAACCGAACTGTCAAACCGTTTTGACAGTGCTAGAGACAGTAATCGACATTGTGCTTCCCATCACTCTATCTCTTTGATTAGATAAGCTTGAGGATATTGTGGAGGACCATATAGAAGGGCTTTGATCACGAGGATCATGATTCAATCATTGTTTAAGATTACAATTACACTAGTTTATAGTATGCTTTGGTGGCGGTTGAAGAAAAACATGTTTATAGTATGCTATGGTGGCGCTTGAAGAAACACATGTGTAACATTTACTTTATAACTCATACTTCCACTTTTCGATACTGTTTGTTCACTTCAGTCTTTGTAACTCATATTGGCGTGGGTTATATGAATTGAACAATTTTTTTCCAAACACCTAATAACAGATTCTCCTTGTTTGTCAATGAAAAAGAACGTGTAGAATTTGATGCATGTTTAGTTTGTCAATGTGACTATGCTTTAAGATTACAAGGACTAAATATTAGCATTTTGATACAAAATTTCGATTTTCTGTGTGTTTTGACATGATGTTTTGTATATAAAAGACATCAACTACGGAATAGATGGTCTCATATATGGTTTTTTTTATTCTTGATGCCTGTTCTATGTTATATAAACTTCATTTCAGTTATAAAATAAGCTTATCTGATGTGTTAAATTTGGTAAGTATGTGGTAATGCTATGATGTTTGTGATATGATAAGTAAACCATAAAGTTCGCCTTTCTGACGTGCTAATATCAACAGATGGGCTATGTTTGGATTTGCTGTTGGGATGCTGACTGAGTATGCAACCGGATCTGACTTCGTGGATCAAGTAAAACTCATTCTCTCCAATTTGGGGATTGTAGATTTAGAATGAGCTAAATAACACCATATCTTTAATTTCATTTTCTACTTTTTACAGTTTATACACCCCTTTGTGATTTCTCTCATCAAAATCCAGAAATTTCCCCTTCTTTTGTGTGTTGTGACCATTTAATTCAACTGTTTGTTGCTATCACCTGTATTTATGTACTTGGATTCTGCATTTTTGCTCACAATACCTATGAGGTTCAAATTACAACATTTTTTTTTTAATTTTTTTTTTTATTTTTATAGTATAAATTACTCATTCATATGTTTTTCTTGTTTCTGTTTTTTCCTTGTTTGGTTATACGAAAATTTGAACCTAACTACTCCAAACTATCAGTCTATCACCAGTAGAACAAAGATAATCTCAATTATAATATGTAAAGATGCCAATGATTTCAGAGTTTTGAGTGTGCGAAGGTGAATATGCTAGAAAGAGTCCTAGGCTTCCAAGGTGTGAGGATGGTGCTGGTTCAAGCATCATATTGTGGCTGACCGGTTAACCAGGTCAGAGCAAGCTAAGAATAGGGCAGTACAATTCATCAGCTAAACCGAGTCTTCATGGAGTCTGTTTTGTAGAAGAGGTTTCCTAGAATGATGCAAAATTTACATGTAGCATCAGCATTAGTTCCAACTTCCAAGTTCCAACTAGCCTATAGGCCAGATGCAATATCCTCAGGTTTAGTACTTGGATTCGGAAACAGCCAGTTACCGAAAAACACAACTATGTTGGCTGTTGAGGTCGTAGTAAAAAGTACTTATTGGCGTTGTGCTGCTGCAACTTGTGCAGGTCGTGCTAGTTAGTACAAATGTACAATGCATGATAGTTGGTTTAGCTTGTTTATACAATGCAGGTGAAGCTTGTTGGTACCAAATTTAGCTTTTTAAGTACAATGCAGGTCGTGCTTGTTAGTACCAAATTTAGCAATTACAATCTTGTAAAATGAAAATTGTTACAAGTAAATTAGTATTAGTAATTGGTGATTACCAATGATAATCCAAAATTTTGCATTCTACCATTGAGAAAAATCAAAAGTTGGGTGTTACCGGTGAGAATTTCCCTAAATCTAATATATATATATATATATATATATATATATATATATATATATATATATATATATAAAGGGGAGTTTTTTCCCGAGTTTTTAGAGAGCCACGTAGGATCTAATCTTCTCAGCGCGCCATGTAGGATTATAAATCTTAATAGTAGCCAATTAAATAAGAGATTATTAATTTCTTTTAGAATTAAATAATTCAAATGCCATGTAAGCAAAATTGGCGAATGAGATTTTAAAGTTTAAATTAATTAAATATTATATATTATCTTTTAATATTAGGAATTTTATCTAAATATATAACAAATTTTAGGCTCATAAATACAAAAAAAAAAAAACATTATTTAAAAAAAAAATCAACAAACCGTGCATCGCACGGGCTTCATCTAGTATTTAAATAATTCTGCCCTTGGATTTGTTCAAAATGAAGGGTCTGTTCAAACTGAACTGAACTGAACTGATTGGAGATGAACTGAACTGAACTGATTGGTGCTGAGTTGAACAGAATTGAAGTGAGCTGAAATGAATATTTTATGAGAGAGGGAAATTAGAAGATGAATTGAACTGAACTGATTGGAGCTGAACTGAACTCAACTGAACTGATTGGAGCTGATTGAACTGAACTGAAATTAAGTAAATGTGAACAGACTCTAAATTCCTTTTGACTTACAATTTTTAAATATCTAAATATATTCTACCCTTTGATTTGTTAAAAAAAAATATCAACAATTTATTATATTTTTAAATTTTGAGAAATTCTATAAGAGCATTATTTTCTCATCAAATAAATAAGTGGAATGGAATATAAAGGTCTCTATTTAAAAGGATGCGAAAAACATATAAAATAACTACTTATGCAAGGCTTAAAACATTAGAATATAAAATTATAGTTTTCTTAAATAACTATATAATATTTTGAATAATTTGCTTGTTGGAATAATTTATTTTATTTTATTTTTATTATCTTTATGCAACTTATAATGTGACCTCCCTCAAAAAAAAAAAAAAAAAAAAAAAAAAGCTTTTAATATGACCTTAAAACTTATAATTGCTTGCCACTAAATTTGTGTTCCTCATCTCCCCTCTTCAAATCGAATGGCGCTTTTATAAATGTTGGGCAATTTTAATTAGGGATGGCAAACAAATCAGGTCGGATCACTTTCGTGTTTGGGTCATTTCGGTTCCGGGTCAAAAACCCCCAACCCTAACGTGATCCATTTAGTTTTTCGGGTTGAAAAGTATGACCCAACCTGATTTGCTTAGTTTTCGGGTCAACCTGACACTACAAGAAAAAGGTCAAATACCGACGGAAAATTTCCCTTGCAAAAAGGCCAATTTCCGTCGCAAACAACATTTCCGACGGAATTCCGTCGTAAAACCTTTCGTAGGAAAAAATAGAATTTCCGAGGAAAATTCCGTCGGAAACACCTTTTACGACGGAAATACCAACGGAATATCTTCTGTCGATACAAAATCTGACTTTCAAGTATAATCCGTCGCAGTTTTACGACGGGAAATTCCGTCGCTGAAGAATCACTAACGACGGAAAATTCCCTCGCAAAAGTTCAAAATTTGCGACGGAATTGTATTTCGTCGGAGGTTTGCGACGGATAAATCCCTTGCAAAAAGATTATTTGTGACGGAAAAATCCCTCGCAATATTCCAACGGAATTAAATTCCCTCGCAAACTTTCAACTTTTGCGAGGGCAGTTTCCATCGTTAAGGATTCTTCCATCGACGGATTGTTCTTCATTTTTCCGTCGCAAAACAATTCCGACAAACTTAATATTAATTATTTCCGTCGCAGAATATAATTCACAAAGCCAAAATTCTAGTTGTCCAGCATTAATAACCTATATTCCTGCACCTAATACCTGTGAAAATTAAAATCATAAACCAATTTCGGAAATATAAATATATATATTTCCACAAAAGCTATGCTTAAGTTAAACATATCCAAAAGCTACATAATATATAGTAATTCTACAAAAGCGGGAAAATAATCAAACGCTACATAAATTCTAATTAACTACTTGTCCGTATTACTACATAAACCTAAGCTAGGCTAAAAAACTGCAGGGGTACCCTGGCTTGCTCCTCCACTACCCGGGTCATCCCTAGGGTCTCGACGCTAAGGCTGAATGGTGGAACATGTGTCGATGTTGCCAAATCGTCTCATGAAGTCATTCCACCTCTCCTCGGCTCTCCTTTCCATTTGGGCCACTTCAGCTTGAATTTGAGCTTGCATCTCAACTTCCATTTCACTCCGAAGTTCACTCCGTATTTCACTCCGGAGTTCATTGCGGATCTCACTACGAAGAGCCTCCACCCTATGGTCCATCTGGTCCTGCATCTGAGAAACAACGGACGGTGTGTACTGTTGTGAAGGCCTAGAACCTCGACCCGTCCGGTTGCCAAAGTACAGCTCTGCACTTTGGCCAAGTCTCCTCACTCGACCCTTCTTGTTGCGACCACCCACACTCTCCCAATACAACTCGTTCGGACTCTTTTTAATCCCTTGAGTGGTGGCTTCTTCAACATTCTTCTGGTAGTTCTCCTACAAGAAAGACATTATACAATAATATATAGTTTAAACAATTAACCAAAAACATAAGTTACAAGTAAAGCAAATAAACATATAAGTGATGACTTGAAATCACGTAAAAGAAGCAAATTTCTAAGTTTATGGGTCCATATCCTCAAAATGAAGCCATTTCAAGCCAAAATGGGTTTTTAATTGCCTATTTTCTTTAAATCTTAACTTTTGGACTCATTCTTTCTCAAACCATCACATATTTACATAGTTATAAGAGTTTATGACTTGAAATCACGTAAAAGAAGCAAATTTCGAAGATTAAGGGTCCAAATCCTCAAAATGAAGCCATTTCAAGCCAAAATGGGTTCTTACATGCCTATTTTCTATATTTCTTAATTTTTGGACTCATTCTTTCTCAAACCATCCTATATTTACATAGTTATAAGAGTTTATGACTTGAAATGACATAAAAGAAGTAAATTTCTAAGTTTAAGGGTCCATATTCTCAAAATGAAGCCATTTCAAGCCAAAATGGGTTCTTCCATGCCTATTTTCTTTATTTCTTAACTTATGAACTCATTCTTTCTCAAAACATCCCATATTTGCATAGTTATAAGAGTTTATGACTTGAAATCACATAAAAGAAACAAATTTACTAAGTTTATGGGTCCATATTCTCAAAATGAAGCCATTTCAAGCCAAAATGGGTTCTTACATGCCTATTTTCTATATTTCTTAGTTTTTGGACTCATTCTTTCTCAAACCATCCCATATTTACATAGTTATAAGAGTTTATGACTTGAAATGACATAAAATAAGCAAATTTCTAAGTTTAAGGGTCCATATTCTCAAAATGAAGACATTTCAAGCAAAAATGGGTTCTTACATGCCTATTTTCTATATTTCTTAATTTTTGGACTCATTCTTTCTCAAACCATCCCATATTTACATAGTTATAAGAATATTTGACTTGAAATCACATAAAACAAGCAAATTTACTAAGTTTAATGGTCCATATCCTTAAAATGAAGCCATTTCAAGCCGAAGTAATAAGTTTAAATACAAAATTATATTAAAGTTGTACGTTACCGCAATGCTCTTGACTTTGGCATTTGCTGGCACCTTTCCTTTCCCAGGGATCTCCTTGAAGTGTGTCTTCATGAAAAGATCATGTGCAGTTGGTAACTGGCCATTATTTTTCGCCGCCTTTGAACGTACATGCACCAAACCAAATTAGGCTTATCATTTCAATGTAACCATAATTGTTGTCTTTTTCAATTTCCTAAAAAACAAACTCACCATCCTTTTAGCATGATGTACATATGAAATTGAACCCTGATAATGGGTTGGCTCAAACACATTGTCCATCGATCCGCCTCTTCTGTTCTTCTTGTTTTGTTCGGACCTCTTCTTATACGTATCATCATTGACCAAAACGTCCATCATTTCAGTGGCAGAGTCTAATACCACCAACTTAGAAGACTGTGAGGCTTGTTGCCCCTGAAGCCGTTGCTCATGATGATGTATCTGCATCTGTGTTTGAGGATCCTCATTGTCACCCAAATCTGCTGCGTCCTCTGCGTCCACCATTTCCTCGCCGTCCTCAAAAATGAGAACTTGCCTTTTCTCCTTTCCCTTATTTTTCTTTGATGTTTCTCCTTTTTTCCCTCCCACCATTTCCACCTGAAAAAGATGTTAGTCACATGCCATGATATTATTAACATTATAAAAATTACAAGTATAATGAGATGTAACAAGATTAACAATAAAACGACAAACTCTTTAATTGATTTTACAGTGACAATCAAATTCAACCAACAATTACACAACTACAAGCAAATTTAACTATTCATTTTACAGTAACAAGCGAATTCGATCTCCTAGTCATGACTTTCATCGCTACTATCACTACTGGTATCGTCACTACTATCATCTAAAACCACATCGATCTCATCATCCTCGTCACTATCACTAGAGTCGACGCTTGATTCATCATCTTCATCGCTTGAGATTATTAAGCCGCCATCATCATCTTCGTCGTCATCCTCAACTAGGTCATAGTCAGGAATGTCATTCGGTGGACAAAGCGTTGCATGGACTTGTGGCGACGGTGCATGCATAAAATCAAGGTCCAATGGAGCATCAACCATTGACCTTGCTTGTGTTTTAAACACAGCCCACCATTGAACTCGATCCCTTTTTAGGCTTGGGTAGGATGTGTAGTACACTTGGCTCACTTGATAAGATAATACAAAGGGATCATACTTAGGGTATTTCTTAGTGTGATTCACTTCGACTAGCTTGTATTGTTCATGTATTTTCATACCCCTACCACAATCCATCCAACTACACTTAAACAAAATAGTCTTGTACTCTTTTTTTGGACCAGTGTAGACAAGTTCAATTATATCGTCTAGAATGCCAAAGTACTCTCCACCGTCCTCACTAGACACACACACACCATAATTCATCGTAGACTTGTGTTTGCCATGGGAATGTGTATGGAAATTAAATCCACCAACAAAAATCTGCCTCCAAGTTCGAACACGCTTGAAAGGACGCATGCACAATGCTTGGAGGACATCTGAATTTGGTTTCTCTTCAACCACCTATTTACGTCACAATTAAATAATTAATTAAAGTGAATTGCAAGATCTAAAAAGCATATTTAAAGACCTAGAACATTTCTATCACCTTATGGTGAAACTAATCAGAGAATTCGGTGTTACATTTCTCCATAACTTCTTCTCTACGCAAAAACGGTCGGGAACTAAGAACGTAATCCTCAAACTTCCTATTAGGTCAATGATACAAGAGAAATTAGTAATTCAACCATTTTAATTCTTCAGAACTATGAATAAAATTCATTCCTTAACACATATACCTTTTGTATTCACCAAGAATGTCGCAATTTCGTAAAACGAACAAATGAGCACACTCGAGTTCTTTTTCATCTAAATACCGAGTTTTACTCTCAGTTGAGACACGACCGGTATCCACCAAGAACAACTCTGGTAAGTCAGCGTTGTCCACTGTGGATTCCACGTCTACATTTACATTTCGACCGAGATCCCGAGTTTTTGTGTCAACTGACGCCTGAAAGTAATTTGAGCAAAAGTTTGCTATCTCTTCGGTGAGATAAGCATTACATATGGAACCTTTAACTCGAGCCTTGTTCCCAATTTTACGTTTCAAGTGATTAAGGAACTTACAATTAAATTAGTATAAATAATTGTGTAAATAGGTCATGACTATGAAGGTTTTGTATGAAAGAGGAAGTGAAGGGGACTTTGATTTACCTTTCAAAGGGATACATCCATCTATATTGAACAGGACCACATAACTTGCCCTCATATGGAAAATGAATAGGTAAATGCTCCATGGAGTTGAAGAATGCCGGAGGGATCACCTTCTCAAGCTTGCAAAGGATTTCAGCTATGTTTTTCTCTAATCGCTCCATGTCACTAACGGTGATTGTGTAATAACACAAATCACGGAAGAATTGACTGATCTCTGTAACCGCATTCCAAATATGGGTAGGGAGCAATTCCCTCAAAGCAGTAGGCAACAACCTCTCCATGAACACATGACAGTCGTGGCTTTTCATACCATGAAGCTTACAACCTTGTAATTCTACGCATCTGCTCAAATTAGAGGCATATCCATCAGGAAAACGCAACTGTTTAACCCATTCACACAACACTTTTCTTTGAGCCTTATCAAGAGCAAATGGGGCTTTTGGCATGTACCCTTTTCCACTACCGTCCTCCTGCAGATGAAGTTGTGGCCTTTTACAATATTTAGCTATGTCATTTCGAGCCGATGGCGTGTCACATGTCTGTTTTTTCACATCCATAATGGTGTGGATTAACTGATCAAAGAAGTTCTTTTCAATGTGCATGACATCCAAGTTGTGACGGATGAGCAGATGCTTCCAATAAGGAAGCTCCTACAACGAGGTTTGCTTGAACCACCTTTTTTTGCTCTTTTGAGGTGTTTCAATGCCTCTGGCCCATCGTTGCCTTTGGAAGGTGTCTCACACATTCCCACAATTCCTCACCTGACATGATGTGTGGCGGTGAACCTTTTTCGACTTTGTTTTTACAAAATGCAGTTTTACTATTTCGAAAAGGGTGATCTGTTGGAAGGAATTGGCGATGGCAATCAAACCAAGAAACTTTGCCACCGTGTTCAAGCCAAAATGCTTTGCTTTTATCCATACAATAAGGACAAGCCTTCTTACCCGCTGTGGTCCAACCAGACAACATAATGTAAGCTGGGAAGTCACTAACAGTCCAAAGGATGGCTGCTCGAAGATTGAAATTTTGTTTCCTCGAAATGTCATAAGTATTTGCGCCTACTTCCCATAATTGTTTCAACTCTTGTACCAACGGTTGCATATACATATCCAAATTGCCCTTAGGGTTCTTAGGACCAGGAACGAGAAACGGAAGGAACATGAATTGTCTTTTCATACACATTGAGGGAGGCAAGTTATAAGGGGTCAAAATGACAGGCCAACAGGAATATTGTCCCCCAAACTTACCATGAGGAGCAAAACCATCTGTACACAAGCCAAGTCGAACATTACGAGGCTTATTGGAAAATTCTGGAAAGCATCTATTGACGTGTTTCCAAGCTTCACTATCACTAGGGTGCGCCATTGTGCCATGAACTCGAGGATTTTTCGAATGCCATGTCATTTCTTCCGATATGTTCTTGGTTGCATAGAGCCTTTGCAATCTCGGTGTGATCGGAAAATAAATTAAAACATTCAAAGGCACTAAGCTACCTTTAGAAGTATTTATGTATCGGTCGCTACCACACACCCTACATGTAGATAGCTGAACATCATCCTTCCAAAACAACATACATCCTTTCGGGCATGCATGAATCTTTTCATGAGGCAACTCCAACCCCTTCACAATCTTCTTCACCTCATAGAATGTGTCGGCCATATTATTATTGTTAGGAATCGCCTCATTGACCAAAGAAGAAAACCCATCAACACATCTATGGGGCAAATTATACTCACACTTAAGACTAGTAATTCGGGCAGCCATCTCTAACACAGACAATAAACTTCCTTCGTATAATGGTCTTTCAGAAGCCTTTAACAAATCTAGGAAATGCTTAGCTTGTGCATTAGGCTCCTCCTCTGCCTCTTCTGAATGCCCTTGATCTTCATTATGACCAAAAGCATCGAAAACCATTTCACGATATTCATTTGACGGTCCTTCAGGAGCTCCCGGAAAGCCTTCCTCATGACACCTCCACTCATAGTAATTAGGTATGAAACCCTTGCGGTACAAATGAATTTTAATAGTTTCCGCATCCCAAAGCCGTTTGTTCTTACATTTAAAACATGGACACCTAACTTCATTCGGGTTGCTACTCTCGGGATGATCTTCCACGTATTTAAGGAATTCATCTACCTCTTTCACAAATTCCGGATTAATAGAATGCCCAACCTTCCTTTCATACATCCAGCTATGTTCTGTTCATTTCATGATTACAACTTCTACACAAACTCACGAATATGTATAATCACATTAGTCACAATGCGTATTGAATATTCATTAACCATCAAAATGTGAAAAATATGCCAATAAGATTGTACATGATGTCCAAAGGTCCTTATCACTCCAACCTAACCCATCATTGGACATTTAATCTCACTAGCGAATGTATACCAGGTTATCAATTCTATGGAAAACCCGACAGCATTTCCCTTATGTTCTCCAAGTACACGATGTAGGCTATTAGATAACCCGTCATATGTACCCAGAGAACATTGTAGAGAAATGATAAGCCAGGATATTCCCTAGAATCAATAACAAGACATACATTCACCACCTAAGTGAGAATAAACGTCCAAGGACAGTCCCAACCGGGGACTATCCAAGACTACATACTCCTAATGAGTATGCCTTGAACGGGTATCTAGGTGTAGACACTCATTTGTGTCTCCCCAAAACCAAACCCAGTGATGAGTACCTTTCACATCATTTGATTATTGAACAAAGTGAAAGTGCGAAAAGTCTAGTGATGAGGATGTTTTTATTAAAATATCTCTTCTTTCTGTTTTTGAAAATATTTCTTTTCTTACCTTATTTATGAAAAACGTGAATTCCAGTTCAGTTTGGTCCATGATAAGGGTCCAATAATGGTGTAGTTGGATAGGGTTTGAAAAGACCTTTCCAACGATATATTATAAGCCCAATTCCGATGAATAATGAGGAAGTTATGGCCAAAATACTAAACTGGGCCCAAACCGGATTTTACCTGCGGCCCAATGATCTAGAGGAGGGCCTATTATTAATTATCATTTCTAAAACTATTAGGATTGATTATAGTGTTCTAGAATACTCTAGAAGGTTCTTTTAAATCATAATGGAGTTAGGATTGATAATTATGTTTTAAAGAGTTTGAATTGAATAAAACTACTCCTTTTTAGAATCCTTGTTTTGTACGAAGTGGAATATATTTAGATTTTATTTTCGTGCCTCATAATCTTTATCCAAATTTTATATGGTTGGATAGATCTTGAAATTATATTTCCAATGATATATTATAATATTTAATCCCAGCTATAACGAAAAAGATATGAATGAGATATGAAACTCTATCCAAAACTGACACCCTTCCACTATTTTATCCATATTTTTTTATCTACAAAATATTTTAATCTGATTCTAATTGGGTTGGAAAGTAGACTTCAAGATCTTTCCAACGACATATTATATTCCTTATTTGGACTTCCGGATCAAAAGATATGATAAAAAAAAAATGCGTGAAACTGATTATTAGCGCGTGACGTTAAGTATTAGCGCCTGGCGCTAAGTTTTGGCGCCTGGCGCTAACCTTCAGCGCCTGGTGCTTATGTCCAGCGTCTGGCGCTAATCGAGTTTTATTCTCGTCGAAACTCTGATTCATTTTTTTATCCATCCGACTGATTTTCTCTATAAATAGCCACTTAAAATTCTGTTTTCAATCATCAATTCTCATCAATCCTTCTTATCTAATTCTCATCAACTCTCACCAAGAATTTCTTGATTCTCTCTCTCTCTTTTCTAATCCAACCCTTTTACAAACACAATTCCTCATACATTAGCACTAGACATACCTAGCATAGTTCGAAGTTGCCTTCGCCCTAGACATGAAAGGTTTTAATTTCTGAGGGTTTGGTCCCAAATCTCTCTTTCAATTATTATTTAATTTAATTGTTTAATTTTATATTTCCACTAGTAGAAAAAGGCTCATTTGCGTCGCTCATTTATAGTGTATTTGCGTCGACACAACTGCTCGCGACGCAAATGATTTAAAAGTCATTTGCGTCGCTCCTAGGCAAATGATAGAAAGCTGAAATGCACTTGAGTTTTAATAAGATTATTAATTGCGTCGCCTTAATAAATAAGAGCGACGCAAATGATAGAAAGCTGAAATGCACTTGAGTTTTGCGTCGCTTCTTGAATAACATGCGACGCAAATAACTTAAAAGGAAGGTAAAAATAAACATTTGCTTTGTTCTTTAGAATGAGTGACACAAATATGGCGACGCAAATGTACATTTTTCTACTAGTGTTCCCTTGAAGTTACTAACGTGTGTATTTTGTTATTAGAAAGAGGTACGAGGCATCCAAGTAAGTGCTTTAATTGATTTATTGATATTATGATATAGAAATCATGTCTAGGTTGTTATTTTGATTCCTAGTATCATGTTAGGATGCTTGATGTTTTGAATGACAATAATGATTCCTAGTATTATGTTTAGGGAAATGGTTATAATATTAAATATGCTTATTATGATTCCTGCGATGCTTCCTATTCTCTTCCTAATATTCATGTTAGTATCATTTTAGGGCTAAAGCTTTGATCTTTATTGTTTAGTGACATGCTAGAGTTTGTTATTAATCTTGTTAGTATCATGCCTAGGATCTTGCTATTATTATGCTTTAACATGATTTATGATTATAATTTTATTATTATTATTATTATTATTATTATTATCATGTTGCTTGATTTATTGTTATTGCTTGATCATGCCTTTTATGCATGTTTAAAGGGAATTGGTACTTGTAATCACGCTTAATAAGATAATTAATAATCTTGTTAGGGTTAATTTAATTATAATTCAAGAGATCGCTAATAATAGATTTATTTGTGCATTAATATTCAACCAACATAGATAAACAGGTTTAGGGTAAACCTATTGATTGCATGTTAATCAGAAAGCGCACATGAATACAATCAGAATAAAGTAGAGGCCTATTATTAGGGCAGGTTTAATCTCTTTTAGGTTGGATTTGTACCTTCATCCCCGAACCCTATTTGGTTCAAGACCTTATGGAGTTAACGATCTCTTGGATCGTTAAGGGGTGTAACCTTCACCCTGTGAACGGTTTACAAGTTCCTAAAACTTGTTGGCGACTCTTTTGCTCTATCTTCTTTACCTTTGGACGCCACCGTACTTTAGTGTATGATCACAGTGGAGTTCAAGTTTGGGGTAATGCTTGAAATATTCCCTACACTAGGCAAATGATTATGCAAATGATTCATTAAAAAATATATCAAGTAATTATAACACACTCATTTAAAAATATGCCAAGAAAATTACATAACACAACCATTATAAAGTAAAGAACACTCATCATTAAATTATAATAATCATTATAAGTAAACCAAATATATCATAATCATAATTAAATTGATATAAACAATCATATATAAACAACTAGTATTCATAATTAAATTGATATAAACAATTATATAGTAATCATTACATTTAACATTATATAAAACAAATATTTTTTACTAAATTAACTAACATACATTAAATTAAACTAACATACAATATATTAAACTAAACAAAAAAAACTAACATACATTATTAAATAATAATAAATTAAACTAAACTAACATACATTATTATAATAAACTAAATCAATGTAAACTAACATATCATGCGGTACATTATTATAATAAAATATCAACCTAAACTAACATATCATGTCATATATTATTGTACTAAACCAAACAAAATTAACATGTCATGTCTTACATTATTATAAAAAACCAAACCAAATTAAAATTAACTAACATATCAACCATTATTATTTATCATAATAAAATCAAAGCAAACTAAACTAACATTTATCTAAGTCACTAACATGCCATGTATAAACTAAAATAACAATTTTAGAAATTAGAATGTCACGAACCTATAGATCTGCACTTTTTATTGAGATTCAAAGCAAGGAAAATATACAAATCCTACAAATAATAACAATTAAACATTATTTAAGGTGTAAAATGTCAATTTTTATTTAAAAAAATGAAAAAACAAAGGTAAAATAATGTTTAATAATTTACCGGTGGGAGGATGAAGGTGGTGGTGGTTCTGGTAGGAGCAAGGACGGTGGAGGAACCTGAAAAAAGGGGGGGGGGGGTGGTGGTGGTCAGGGTTAAATCAAAAAAATAAAAATTAAAACATAAAAATAAAAAAAATAAAAAAAAACCTCATCGGCGCTGCAGCCGGAATTCTTGGAATGCCGCCGACGGGATACAGGTGTGACGGCGGCTGCTACAAGCCGGTGGTGGCTATTCACAAGCCCCGGTGGTTAGTGGTGGCCTTTTGCGAATTTTAAAAATATAAAAAAAAGCTAACAGCGGCTTACCGTCGGGGATAACAGCGGCAGCGGGATCCGGTTGTCGCGGTGGCGGAGGCGCGCTCAGGCGGCGGCGACGTTCTCCTCTCTTCTTCCTCTTTCTCTTTCTTTCTCTCTCTTTCTCCCTTTATTTCTTTCTCTCTCTAGCCCCGTTTTTTTCCTGGTTCTTTCTGGGTTAGAATACCTAATTTCTAGTTCTAATTTTTGCGACGGAATTTAATTTTGTCGGTAAATTTTTTTCCGACGGAAAATTCCGTCGGAAATAAATTTGCTACGGAATTTTCTGTCGGAAATATAATTTTCCGACATAAATAAATTTCGTCGCAAAATTAGCGAGGGAATTTCCGTTGCAAAACATAAATTCCAACGCATTTTAGCGACAAACTAAATTCCGTCGTTGAATTTAAAGTTTGCGACGAAAATAGGTCCGTCGTAAAAATTCCGTCGGTATTAAGCGGTTTTCTAGTAGTGTGAAATGACCCATTTAACTTTTTTCTTTCAAATGATATGTGTAACCCAATATATTTTGTTACTTTGGGTGTAAAGTGGGTCAACCCAAACATATTAATTAGAATATGAAGTTAGCGATGTGTATATATAATCATTGATTCAAGAATCATTGGCAAATAACAACACACAACCAATTAATAAAATAAAAAAAGAATTAATATTTTGTTAGATTGATAGACGGCGACCAGGTTGAGACTTGGAATTGACTTAATTTTTACCAGCAGACGGAAGTGGAGGTAAATTTGTGGTGGCCAGTGTTTTTTTTGTGGAGTATGGAGCAAACAGTAAAGTGATGAAATGTAAAAAGG